GAAACTTTGCATACTCATCATATTTGAAATTTAAATAGTATGTAAAGTAATAAGGCTGGCTATGATAATATTTCCAAAGCTTATGAGTTCATCTTTTGATTTTTTTTCTGTATGGTTTTGTGCCTCCTATAAGAAAATCTCCTAAATCTGAATCTATTTGAATATTGGTCAGACCTGTGACCCGGCCAACCAGATGTGGCCTCATTCATTGCCATTTCCTTTCAAAATTATTCATGTTCAGCCACCTATAAAGAGACTACACTCTAAAAAATGGTGCTAAATAAGAGTCAGAGTGACTCATAATCATAAGGGAACCCATTTAAAGAGAAAGTTCACCCTAAAATGAAAATTTCTTTATCATTTACTTAAGTGGTTCTAAACGTTTCTAAATTTTTTCATGTTAAACAAAGGACAAAATATTGTGAAGAGAAGATTATAATATTTTCATCCATAGTAAAACAATGCGATGGCTGTCCCCCCCACAACCCCCCTCCCCCTCACCCCATCCCCCAAAATTCTTCAGAATATCTTGTTTTGTGTTCAATGGAAGAAGGAAACTCAGTGTGGGCAAATGGTGAGGACATTTTCATTTTTAGCCAAACTATCGTTTTGGGTTCTATATGCCTTTAATGCCATATACACTAGTGTGTTTTTGTATAAAATTAGAATGTGAATGTTACTTCTCAAAACTGGCATTTTTATTGTGTTTCAGAAAACCATTCTCTTTTCATATTAAACAGCTCAAAATACATGATATGTGATTCACGCTCATTGGGCATGTGCATAATTTTGCGGCAGTCTAACAACTATAATAGTCTTATTCGTCAGGGTTGATAGTCCAAAATGACCAATCATAGAGCGATTGCGGATAGCCTCTATTTAGTACATCTATACCAGGGGTGCCCAAACTTGGTGGAGGTCCGACATCCTACAAAGTTTAGCCAAAAACTATTGAATACACAACACATGTCACTCATATAGTGTTGATGGGGGAAGTGTAATTGATCTATAGACATTTCTTATCCTGAAACGCATGCTCAGACTTGCCTAACAGACATGAGAAATAAATCCACATGAAGCTTTACTTCCCCATGAAATTAAACGAACAGAATTTTTTTGTTAATTTACATTGTTAGTTTTGTGTTGAACAATTCATCTGCAGCATGTCATTAAAAAAATGTTTGCTCTTCTGATAATCTGAAAATGCACTTCCTGTTTGTTTTCAGTTAAATTGTCAGATTATATATATGTTAAGAATTGAGTGTGGCTAATGTATTTAACCACGCTGCTCTAACTGTCAGTTTTGACAACAAACTGAAATGTTAAGGAGGAGGAGTCTGTTAGGTTGTAAAACTCTCCCCAAACCCTTTTCCCGATATTTCTGAATGAAGTGCCTACTTTGCTCGCAGTAGAATAAAACAAGCCAGGCCCACTGTTTTGTCATTTAATATTCCGTTTCTCTAGGAACTGCAACACAATACTAAAAAAATAACGGTCACAGCATCCGGTTCATGAGGACTTTAAATCTCTGCTTTTAAGCAATCCAACTAGACTTGAAAATAAATGTTTTTGGTTTTGTAATCTGTATGAAATGAACACAGGGTACAGTCAATCCCATCGAATGCAAGTCACATGGCAGCTACTACTCGAACGCCCACAAACTTGTAAACAAATTGTTGTTATAATTTTGGAAGAAGATGTGCCATCAAGACCAAAGTATGGAATTACTTCAGAAGACCAGTGTGATCGTATTAGGCATTATTCAGATGATCATAATAAATAACATGGCCATGAATGAGGTTGTTATCGTGATCTCGTTCCCTTCGAATGAGCATGCGCATTAGCTTGAGCAACCTGAAAAAATGCTAATTTTGTTTGATTTGAATGCTTAGAAAATAAACTAAAAAACTTAAGAAACTTAATTGGTGATTCCAAAAATGAAATTTAATTAAATGTTTGGCAAACAGTTTTGGAGAATTCAATGTTTGCCCATTCAAACAGAACACTGCCCAAAAAGCGTTTCAAAGATGGACACCAAGTGAAATTACTTGCCCTGAAAGGGAGGTTGGTTTAGACATACCTACCTGGAAACTTGTAGTGGTAACAGCTTGATTAGCTTGTCTAGATGTGTCTAATTTGGGTTGGAGCTAAACTCTGAAGAACACCAACCTTCCCCCCAAGTTTTGGCACTACACTGGTCTACACTACCTAACAAAAGTCTTGTTGCCTGGCCAAGTTTTAGGAACAACAAATAAAAACTTGACTTTTAGAAAGGCACAGGCCTCTAGATTACGCTTATTTTAACAAAATAAAATATAATCATGCCTTGATTTCTAATGATTTATTTAGGACAGTAAGGTCTGACTTTGCTTAAGCAAAAGTCTTGTCACTTAACAGAAATCATGGAAAGTATAGAATATAAAGTCATGGTGCAGTGGAAAAAGAATTAATATTGTGTGACTCCTATGAGCTTGGAGGACTGCATCCAAACATCTCTGCAATGACTCAAATAACTTATTAATAAACTCATCTTAAATGACAAAGAAAGTGTTCTAGTTGGACTTCCAGAGTTCATCAAGATTCTTTGGATTCATCTTTAATGCCGCCTCCTTCATTTTAGCCCAGACATGCTTGTTACGCCCCCATAGTGAGTGTAACCCCAAACCATGATTTTTCTTCACCAAACTTGACTGATTTCTGTGAAAATCTTGGGTCCATGTGGGTTCCAATAGGTCTTCTGCAGTATTTGTGATGATTGGGATAAAACAGATGATTCATCTTAAAAAATCTACCTTTTGCCAATTTTCAAATGATTAACTAGAAGTCAAGTTATTTGTTGCTCTTACTGGGATCAATAACAAGACTTTTGTCAAGTAGTGTATACTAAAACAAACACTAGTGTTTCCAATCTAAAACAGCATCTTTATAGCATTCACATACTGCTCTGTTTTCACAGGTCGAATTTGCTGTAAACACAAGGGGACCTTTGTGAAACTGCTCCAATAAAATGAACACTGTTTAATCAAAGGATAGCATAGAGTAAGTTAAATTCTTGGAATATTGATCTGGTCAGTTTCATTTAGGGGTGGTGAGGGTGTGGGGTTGGAGTTGTTGACAAATTTGAGCTGGTTTGGTATTAACAGAATTAACAACGGGTGCACTAGATGGACAAAAAATTCAACCTCTAAAACAGGAATTTTACCTGCAGAATCCACTGCCATTTTCCCACTTCTCATTGTCAGCTTTTGGTTTCTTCCACTAGTTTTGCATTTGGTTCAGTTCAGGGTCCTGGGTATCTCCAGATGCATGATAATCATTGTATTAGGAGCATGCCTCAATATTGTTAGGCATGCACACAAGCCTAACTTGTGAGAACCATGAAAAATCAACAAAATACAATATTTTTCTGTCCGTTGTTCACTTTGGTTTTTAGGTATATCTTTGAACTCATGTCTTGGGTTTATAATTTATATTCTCATCAAAACTGTGGCAACATTTGCTACCCATTCTATACCAGTATAAATTTCCTGCATAATATGTTTCCGCATTGAGATCAGATATGTTTTCAAAGTCCTTCCTTCCTTTAATTTTTGGTAGAGTCTATTTGTGTGTGTGTGTGTGTGTGTGTATTACTCTAATCTCATATGTTACCTATAAATGGGAAGTTATTACGGCCCAAAACCAATTCTATTTTTGTACCCCTTCCCCTTGGCCCTTGAAACAGAGTGTAAAGGGGAAGGGCTTAAAAATTTTCCCCAAAGAAATGGGACACCACTACAATACCTGCACACGTCATCATATGACATTGCGATCTCTTGCTTCATATGAGATCATACAATCGCGACTGCTGTAGTTATTCCAGTTGCGTTATTTTTTGGTATTTATCTTCAAGAAATCCCTGAAGGCATATATTATGTTATCATAACGATCTACTGTGGCAATAAGATCGTAACTATACTGCATTTACACAATAGCCATATTCATCTATGTAAACACGAAAACAACATTAACATTTTACAAGACTCTGTAAAAAGGTTATTCCCAGCCATTAGAATTTTGGACAGGATATTCAAGTGTAATCGAGTGTCAGAATGTTGTGAAACTGCTATACAGGAGTTATTATTATAGATTATAAATAACAAAACTTTGCGTGGCATTTTTTTAAAAGCATGACGGTAAAACATAAACACGGTTCTGACTGTGTTAAAACATGAGCTTGTTTGTTGTAAAAATTCATTATAATGACAAAAAATACAAATTTGTGGACCTCCTGATCTTCGTGTGCAGCCATGTTGCCATTGCAGATGGTGTATTTTGGGAAATTTTTGTACCCCTTGGTTTAGAAAAATCTTTGCTTCAAGGGCCATCTAAGCCTTCCCCTTAGCCCTACGCCTTCAAGCTAAAGAGAATTGGAACTGCACTACCCCTTCACGTGAATGCCGAAAACGGTAAGGGGAAGTTCTAAGGTGTAGAATTGGGATTGGGCCTACATGTGCAGCAGCGTAAATGCTGGCACAGGTGTGTGTTTGTATGTTTGTGTTTATTGTTACTAAAACAATCCTGTATATTACAGATTTAATATGCTGTATATATAACGCTAAAACAGCATTTTATAAAATACTATACATTTTGAAGATATTAATTAAAGGAGAATTTTATATTCTGTAATTTTATTTTATTTATTATTAATTAATTAATTAATTAATTAATTAATTAATTAATTAATTTGGGTGATACTGACCAGTATATTTGGAATCCATCTTAGAGTTAAATTAAATTAGTTATTAGGATGGCAGAACAAAACAGAATATCAAAGACAAGATATAGCCTGAATGAATGAATATGGATTGTTAAATATAAAAAATATGAATTATAATGCGCACAAAATATATTTTTAACATCAAAATCTGAGAACAATTTGACACCAATACGCGTGCACATTGAGTGCGCAGCTGAGTGTGGGAGCGCGCTCAAGAGGCGCGCGTCCGCGGAGGGGGGGGCTATGTATGAAAAGAAACAGGAAACTCCTCCGATCTGATCTGTTCGACACTTTAACAGCAGTGGAAGAATCGGAGGCAAAGGCTGGCAGTTAATGACTTCATTTCACTCTCTTTTTAATCAACGATGGCCGTAAAGGCACTCGATTGATTATCGACGCCGTCTCTTTTATACTTTTAACTTTAGAAGCTCCGGAAATTTAAAAAACTCCAGTTTAAAGCGGCGGTGCGCGTGTGTGAAAGAGTTGGGCGTGAGTCGTCGGGTGGCTCCATATTTCACCCGCCTGTGTATGATAATTCTTTACTTTTTGACACTTCGACTTCTTAAATCATTTAGAAGCCTTTTAAACTTCGAAAAGATGGGGTGCACCCTGAGCTCGGACGACAAGAGCGCCCAGGAGAGAAGTAAAATGATTGACAGAAACCTGCGGGATGATGGAGAGAAAGCGTCGCGAGAGGTCAAGCTGCTGCTGCTGGGTAAGTTTAGCTGCTGTGGTGATGGAAAAAGCCGTAAAATATACATTTTACAGCACGTGTGAGAAACTTTATCGCTTGTTTTTATATTTAAATACGCTATGAGTGAATAATGAAGTAGTTAGGTGCGTATCTATGCTCTCTGGAAACTTTTATTTTTCTTCATAGTCAATGCGCTAGCATGTTAAAGCTAACCCACTATTATATCTCTCGAATCATTTCGCGGAGATTTGGCGGTTTGATATCTATGTTTTTCTATAACAGAAGGAAAATAACTGCATTAGTGATGTAATTAGACTGTTTTTATTTTATTTTTTGTTCTCGACCGTTTTAAAGTAACGTACTTTTTTTTTGCATATTTTCCAGTTTGAAGCAAACGGCTCTCGGCTAATCTAGCCAACAAAAGACTAAGTTAGTTTAATCTAATTTAATCTCCCTTGATTGGTTTAGGGAGATCAATCTGATAGATTAGCCTAACCCTCATTTAATTATGATAAATAAGCTTGTGCATATGGAGGATCCTGCTGGGTGCTTGAAGGAAACTGGGGTGGCTGATGCTAAAATGGGCTTAAAAAGTCTGGAAGGGCTGAATAAGGGGTTAATTTGTATTTTTTTTTTCCCTCTTAGACTTGTCTAGATGAAAATGAAATAGTTTTCTATTTATTTTAATTTTGAGCATCTCCTTCCAATATTTTCATTTAATAAATGAAATTTAATATTTCCAAACATAGCACTGTTTTTTATTTACATTTTTGAAAAGAACAGAAATATGATATAATAAATTTATATTTTTCCTTTTTCCCTATAGAATTAATTTTTTAAATACAATTGATGCCATCACAGCCTTAGATTTTCTTAGAGAGATTCCTATTCCAAGTCAAATTCAGTGCATTTGCAATATTTAAACTCTATTTGCAGTTTACAGTTTGCTTTTCCTTCCCTTTAAAGCAGCCGACTTGTAAATTCATTGTGATTTACATAGAGGCCACTTGTTTTTCAGTTTCTGAATCCTGCTTTGCATAGGTTTCTTCTGTACTTTTCCAGTATTTGTATATTAGTTTTTGTTTTGTTTTTTGGGTTAAGGGTAATTTTGATGAAATGAAGGCAAATAAATTATTTTCTAGTGATTGAAATATTTGTTTGGCTTTCTTGATTATTGATGGTGTGTATGGCTTTAACTTGTTTGTTTTAGGGAAAATGCCACACACTTACTGAAAAGAAGCTCTAGAAAATAAATAGCAATGTCTTCACCCTTAGGTTTGATTAAAGGTGTGAGTGATTGCTTTATTATTTTGAGGTTCATTTGACGAACTGTGGACTCTTCTGTTTAAGCATTTGTGCACATGGGAAAAAAGGAATTGAGACCTGTGAAAAAGATGCTTCTGGCTTTGCTTTTAAATAAAAGCAAAGTGTTTTTCAGCTTGTATGAGATCAGCACGGATCAAAGACATCAAAACAAACCATTATATCATTGTTAGGCATTATATTTCAATACAGGGCTTCCAAAGGCATCTTTATTTGTGACTCAACATTTATAAAAATCCATAAGATTAAGCCCAGTACATTTTTTTGGAGTGTTTTTTTTTTGGAAGTAATTTAAAAGTTATACATTTTATTTTTGGTGTCTTTACTTTCTGTATTAAAATGACAGTTTGAAGGAAATTTTACTGAAAATTTGTTCCGGTATATAAGCCAAATAAACCTTGTGAACTTAAGTGTAAACATACCTAAACTTTGTCAATTTCTTTACCTTTTTTCTTTGCACATGAAATGATAATAATAATGTTTAAATCTGATAATTTAACAACCCTCATATAATGTAGACCATTTTCCCATCTGTTGCTCTTCTTCTCTTTGTCTAAACAGGACGTAAAACCTGCTCTTATGTCATCAAACTTATGGGACTTGGTATCTAATTATCTAGTTAACTGGATTCCCCCTAAGTGCTGATTCATTATACGCCCTCTTGTGCTCTGTTCTTGGATTTGTTTGCTTTTTGGCAATGGGGATTGACAACATATGTCCTTACGCCTGCTGTAAAACAGGCAGGACTTCCTGTTTAGACTATTTAGGAGGACAAATGGTCACTGCCAGGGTTGTTTCTAATAATACATCCACTGGTGAGAAGAGAAAGCACTTTCACGGTTGGTTATTTGAAGAATCTTGTGTGTCAGAAGTCAACGAGCATCACAAATGGCCATCAGCATGTAATAATTCAAAGAAGATGCACATTACTTCACCATTTAGAGCATGTTATTGGGTGCTTCTCTAGCACTGTCATTGGTTGCTCAGAAACCAAAATGCTGGCTTAAATTACAGCATAATAAATGCAGTCACAGGAGACCAAACAAAAGGTAAAACTAGCGCTTTGGAAGTCAGGTTCACAGTGTCGCAGCAAACACTTGGCGTCTGGCATTTAGTGTACTTGCTAACATTTATGGTTGGGGATTTGAAAGAACCCTTAATACAAAATTTTGATAGCTTAACTTACCAGAATATCATTGAAACATAGGGACATTAAACGTTTGATCACCCAAAAATGAAAAATTCTGTTATTTTCTTTAGTCACCTTCATGTCATTCCAATGCCCTGAGACCTTCATTCATTTTCTGGGCACAAGTTAAAATATTTTTATAAGATATTCTCTATGGTCCCAAGACATTCAGAGCCCAGAAAAGGATCCAAAAACATTTCTAAATCATCCATGCGACAAAGTATATTGTTTTAGCAAAAATTTTGTCTTTGTTTCTAGTCCAAATATCTACATTTCAAAGCGACAACATTATTTAACTTTATTATAATAATTTATTTTTATAATAATTTAGCTTGTTTTAAAGAAAAACTATTAATTTTGCTTTATTTCATCTGAATGTTAAAACAAACAATATATTAATCTAAGAATTTCTTTAGGTATTTGGACTAGAAATGAGACGAAGCAAAGTTAGAAAAGCTTTTTTACATTGTGATTATTCAATTTCTGTACCTGAATACTGTTAGACTCCCCATAAAACTGTCAAATAGTGCTATTCAAACTACCTTGTGAAACTATTCATATCGCAATATTTATCGCAGAAAAATAAATATTGGAATATCAGAGTTTTCCAATATCGTGGTGCTATAATACAAAGCTCCAGGAACACTTTTTTTTATCAAGGCTCAAAACTGTTTAATAACAAGGAGAGAAAATCCAAAAAATTGAAGCTGAAAAATGTAAGAAATCATGCCTGTCAATAGTTTATTTTGTAGAGAATTTGTCACCAATAATTGTGATAGAAATGAACATGAAGGTTTTGAACTTATCAATACTTTAAGCGTCCAGTGATTCATATGAAATGATTATGAAAATCCACTGAGATCTTTGTTTATCTTCGGGACACATATTAAGACATTTCTGATGCAATCCGAGAGCTCTCTGGTCTTCCATAGACAGCAACAGTCCCCAAATGTTCTAAGTTAAAAAAATAAATCAAAAATGTCATCCAGCCATTTCATGTGACTTAAGTGGTTCATATGAAGATTAAAGAACAATTTTTGTGGCAAATATTTTTTAAATATAACTTGATTGTTCACCTATATCTTCTCTCCTGCGTCAGGTCAGTAAACATGTTTGTTACGAGCAGTATGATGTATTTACATTAAAACCAGCAGTGCAACATGTAAGCGTTGTGTTGTAAAGACTTGCATTAATAATAATAATAATAATAATAATAATAATAATAGTAAAATGATAATAATAATAATAAAATGGTGCGGAAGACATCGGTGAACACAGTTGTTTTTTACAGATTTATTTATTGCTCAAAAGTGTTTGCATGATTATAACTGAACGACCAAATGTTTTGACAGTGTTTTTTTTTTTTTCTGAACTGAACTTCAAATGTCTTGGGACCATTGCTAAAAGCACTCAGATTTCATTTAAAATGTCTTAATTTGTGTTAAACGAACAAAAGTCTGTGTATTGAAAGGACCTGAGGGTGATGATAAACAAATTTTATTCTTTGAGTGAACTAATGCTTTAAAGCACAATAATGAAAATATCTTGCCCTTAAGTTATTCCAATGCTTTGAGTTTCTTCCTTTTTTTGGTTAACACAAATGAAGTTATTATGTAGAATGTTGGAAACCAGTAGCAGTGACTTCTATTGTTGGACAAACTAATCGGTGTCCGACATTGTGCAAAATATCATCCTTTGTCAATAGAATAATCTCACTCTAACAGGTTTCTAACACATTTTCAAATGGTTTTTATTCATAAATAAAATTAGATAAATATAATATGCAGGAAACATTTATGTATGTGTTGAAATGTTGAAATCAATATTTGCTTCTCAGGAAATATTACAACCTCAACGGACAATTAATGGTACAGATGAACATGAAGCAGCACAAGCCTCTCATGTGGGAGTTTTTTGGGGGTCTCTGGGGGAAGTGTGCAGCACACTTGTGTCGGGTCTCGTCACAGTAGGGTTTGAATCTGGGCGAGAGATGCTGATGTGGCCTAATTGCTGTGTTTGTGCTCTGGGACTGAAAGAGAGAGACATCCTCCCACAGGGACATCCTTAACCACAACTGAGATGGTTAATTGAAATGTTCGCTTAGTGAACGGATGAACTCTTGTCTCATGGAAGGCGGAGAGCTGCATGGAATCATTGAGATTTAAATAAAAAATAAAAAAAAAGTTATTTTCAATTGTGAAAATTGTAATGAAGATGCATAATATGTAGATATTACTAAATATTTGTGTGGATAAGTCTAAAAACCTTTTTGTTTTTACTATTTAAAAGCAAAACCTTTTTAATCTCGTCTAGCATCAAAAGGTGTATGCATTGTTTTTTTTTCTAATTAAGACTTTTGTTTAATTAATCAAGAATAGATTAAATTCATTAAGTGACAGTAAAACCTCTTTTATGACTCAAATGCTGTTCTTGATTAAATTGTTCTTTCTATTAATCGCACTTCCAAACAGCATTAATCGGCACAGAAGCTGTTCTCAACATTTAATGAATCAGAAGGATTTCTGTAGGTTCAACTGATTCTAAAAACTAAAGTAATGATGCTGATAATGTATCATTTTAAAAGGTTTCTTCAAGAGTATAATGTATTAACATACAAAACCATACAAAATGCAACTCTATAGGATTAAAAATAATCACAGTTTTTTTTTGGTCATCAAATCCTATTTGCTACATTTTAAGAGTTCTTTTTAAATGGTTTTAGGTCAACAAATTAAGAGTTTAGATGCAAAAACCTCTAAATTAAATTGGATTTCTTCTAAAATTTGCATTTTTCTCCAACTCTGTGAAGGATCAGTAATTTTTCTTGTATAGTCATGAATAAGTTCTTTCCATTTGCCTTTAAAGTGAAAAAACTAAACACAAACATAGGAGGCTGAGAAAAATGCTGAGGGGAAATTTCAGATGGTCTTAAGAGGTTTTTTTCATCTGACCTCTTTATATGCAGTTTGACCATTTACAAATAAATATGATGCAATTTTAACATTTATATAATTACATTTTAAAACCTAAAAGTTTTTGCAAAATTTTAGATATTTGGATTTATTAGATTATTGGATTTTTCATTTAATTAATTTATTATTATTAATTTTAGGTTATCATTAGTTCATTCTTCCAGTACATTAGCTATTATTGTATTTAGTAAATGGTAAATACTTTTAATGTATAGTTTAATATTTACACTGTGATCCATATTCTTAAATGTGATTTTAATTCAACATTTAACAAATTCTTTGGTATTCTGAGTTAAATGTTTCATTACAAGTTTGCAATTTCATCTTTGTTTTCTGCATGATTGAAATCTTAGTGCTCTACATTAGATTTTTTTTACAACGACATTCGCAAATTTACTAACCCCAAACTTTGGAAACATAGCGTGTAATAATTTAAAGTATTAATTTAAATATGACAGTTTTTTTTGTGAGCATCCCAAGATCCATATTGGCATTCCTTTGCTTTCTTTTTAAGTCTACTGTCTGTTCCCAGCAATCAAACATGTGCCAACTGGCATATCTAGATGCATAACTAATCTGTTTAGAAAAGTCTGTCAGTAATCCCATTACAGTGAGGTGTTGTTTAATTAATCCATTAAGATTTGCACCTTCCACCAGCAAAGTGTGGAAGTGTGTTGTTAAAGTTAGACTGAAATATCCACTTAACACAAATCTGAACCGTCTTCATTTTATTTTCTGTTCGGTTGCCATTTCACATGACTAGTTTTCCCACTTCCCTTTGCTTTGTTTGTCATGGATGCAAAGTGATGTTTTATTTTCAGTGAAACATTTTCAGTCCATATTTCTTTCAGGGTCTAAATTGATAAGGTGTTCTCTCTACCCAGTTTTTACATGTGGTGAAATCAAAGGGATGGAAATGAAATGAACGTCTCGCTCAATCTGATACTGACTTCACATTTGCTGAGCTGGCAGGAGCCGCGAGTGTTTGATCGCTCTGCTCCTCATACTCTTTTATTGAGCTGGAATGTTTGGGTGTGTGTCCATCTGGTTAACACGCACTCTTTCTGCTTGTCTCTTGCAGGCGCTGGTGAATCCGGGAAAAGCACAATTGTCAAACAAATGAAGTAAGTATAACCTCTTATTATGTGATCATAATGTCATACTTCTTCCCTGATGTTTAATATATCACACAGGATGTAAAAGATAGCAGCATCTATGGCAATTAGATGTGCCTTACATAATCGTTTGGTTATGATCTTGACTTATTAAGGGACTTCCCTCCCTTTGTCAGAGTCATATAACCTTTTAACATTTGAAACCTCCTCAAATGCATTAGCGTTAAGCAATGGATTGCCGAAGTGATAGTGTTTTTTTTGTAGGAAGTGATAGAGTTCGCATCATCCTGCTGCCCTCAGTCAAAACCCAATAGGAACTTCCCATTGATTTTTTTTTTTTAACCTAAACTGAACAACAAAGCTTGATTGCCTAAAGCAGTGTTTTTCTCAAACAATGTTTCTGGTGGACCACCAGCATTGCACATTTTCCTTAACCCAGTTGTTCTCAAACTGTGGTACATGTACCACTAGAGGTACGCGGACTTCTATTATTACATGGAGGAATCACTGAGTAATGAAAGAAAAAATGAATACAATTTTAATCATTTCATGCGAACGATAGCACCAATGTGATCAGCATTGGCTGTTCTCTTAAGCCTACGATCAAAGCGATGTTTAAAATGTTTACTTTAGTGCATTACTTTATCAGCTGCTAAAAATCAGTTCAATTGGTGCAGAACTAGAGAAAGAGGTGCGTGGTGCTTGCAGAGCAGATGCATGCTAGAGCAGTGGTCCCCAACCCCCGGGCCACAGACCGGCACCGGTCTATAGATCAATTGGTAGCCAGCCGCACAAAAGATCATGAATTTCCGAGTCTGAACGATCATTTATTTAGAAAAATCTTTTATTTTGAAAAATGAGTGTATTCTCTTGTTACATCTCGGTCACTTGAGTGCCAAAATTTAACCCACAGGCTATGAAAATGAGTAAGAACTGTAGCGCGACGCGCTTGCGTATTCCAGGTGTCCCCTGTTGAAAACATCTTAACTTTTCTGAACGCTGCACCGCGAGTTATGAGATAACCAACTGATCGGCTTCATATTTTGTATGGAATATAATTTAGGGGTGTAACGATTTATCGTTGTACGATTTATTGCGATGCAAAAATGTCTCGATATTAGGGATGTAACGGTATCAGAATTTCACGGTACGGTAATACCTCGGTATGAATGTCACGTTACAGTATTTATTGAATCATTTACAGGAAAAAACAAAACTTATAAAAATACTCCAAAAAAGTGCCAAAAGTGTCAATGACATACAAATTAGTCATCTATATGTAAGCTTTGAAACAGGAACTTCAATTTTAATAACAAAAAAATATTAAACCATGTAAAAAAATTAAGTTTCAATTTAGTAGTGTTGAAAACACTCATTCAACATTTAATCACTCATTCACTTAGAGATGGGTTTAAAAGAAAATTATCATATAAATATAATCTGGTAAAAGCTGGTATCGCTGGGTATTTACAATGTCCTCTACAACAGAAAAAAAAACCTCTCATTTGGGACTGAGGTTTCTGGGACAAGAGAGATATGACTTGGCCCAGGTTGACAGCAGTGGGTAACGTTGTGCATTGTCTTTCCCCCACTTGAGAAGACAAACCATGAGTGAGATAGAGATCTCATGTCTGCATCAATCTGAACAGTGTGCTGTGTTTCTGCAGTCCCCATGACTGATTATTAGTCCTATTCCCTAACTTGCAGGCACGTGCACACACAGTGCTCAACCTGTGCAGTGCACATGCCCTTTTTAGTCTTGGATAGAAAGTTCCCTTGCAAAATGATCAAAAGTGCCCCCGCGACGCGACATACCCTCCGTCCCCGCTTTACAGTAAGTTACGTGCGCGACAACACAGCTGATAAGAACTCGCGCGACAACACCACTATTCAGTACGCGCGCGACAACACAGCTGATAAGAACTCGCGCGACAATACCACTATTCAGTACGCGCGCGACAACACAGCTGATAAGAACTCGCGCGACAACACCACTATTCAGTACGTGCGCGGCGACAACACCCGCTTTAGGGTTTTCCAGCTCTTTTTGATCCCCGCTTTTAGCAGCACACTCCATTTCCGCATTACTGGATCTGTAGCGACAACAGACCGCAAGGGATTATGGCCAAGCCTGGGCTGATGGGAATTGTAGTTTCCGGTACCTCCCGTTCGCTTCATTCGCCTGAGCAAATTTTTCTCAGAAGACCTATAGTTTTACCGAGTCATGCGACTACGGTAATATCGAAAAAAATTAATATTGCGGTATGACGGTATTTACAATACCGTTACATCCCTACTCGATATGCATCGTGGCGTTATGACGATTTGATTACGATATGACGTCCGTTTTCTCTTAGTAGTTGAGCTGTTTGCACGTGAGCTACGTTCCACCTGCTGTCGCACGTGAGTTCAGATTGCAGCAGTAGTAATGTTAGCAGACCAAGATGAGTGGAGTTGAAATAGAGGATGGCCCATCCTCTCAAAATCAGACGTCTGGCAACATTTCGGTTGTACAGTCATTGCTTTAGACTCGTCCGCTTTTTGACACGCATACTGGGTCAAACATCCTAAGTTTTAAAGTCTTCACAGTGATTTCCATACTTTGCACAGCGACATGGATACCTCCTAATGGTGTTGAAAGAGTCACATACTGTATTTATAAGGTACAATTTAACCTAAAATATCATTCTGTCTTCATATAATGATGTATTGGCGGCCGCAAAATCACACATGACGTGAGCTGTTACTACAGAGGGCGGATGATAGATGCGCGCGTATGGCAAGCCGTTGTAGCATTTAAACCTTTGATCTGACTATTCATAAATATATTTAGAGATATCTCTAATTATATTTTGACTAGTCATAATTATAATTCGACTAGTCAAAATATAATTAGAGATATCTCTAAATGAATTTAATTAAATATGAATTAAATATATTTATGGATAGTCAGAACAAAGGTTTAAATGCTAAAACGGCTTGCCATACGCGCGCGTCTGCTTCAGTGAACAGAACCTGCAGGTTGACTAATAAAGTAGTAAACAACATTCAGTTTGTGGAACAGAGTGATCTTTCAGGAGCCGCGTGGGAAGTATAAACAGCACTTAGCAGTGGAAATGAAACCGAAAACGTACACATTATTTAAACAATCATATCGCATTTTAGAGTTATCAATCCGACAAGCATTAACCCTTTTGAGTACAGAGGTACACAAAAATGCACGTCAACATGATACACTTGATAGCGCCGACATCAGCGACGTCGAAGAAATAGTAAACCTGCCTAAACTGCTGAAAAGAGTCACGACTGTCCTGTGTAATGAAAAGACGGCCACCCTGTCACTCATCATGCCCAACATGAAGACAGCCATCCATAAAAACCTCTCAGAAGATACACATAAGTTCAGGATTATCTTATAGAACTGCTGATTACCTGGAAATGTGGATTTTTTTTTGCACACAGAAAAAACACAAGTGACCAAGCAAAACCTTAAGTTCTTACTGTTAAATTCAATTGAATAGAAAGCTTATTTTTTTTGCACTTTTACTTATATTGTTCCTTAATTTTGTCTCTGTCATTTCAATAATATTTTTTAAGAAATTTTTTAATTGTTTTATTTTCCAGAGACAGGCCTGTTAAATTTATTTTCTTAAAGAAGGTTCAGTTTAACAAGTTAAAACAAAAGAAATACATAAAAAATAGTTTACTTGGTAAAATTTGCATTTCAGTTAAATTTTCATTTTTTTATTCCAAATATCGTGATACATATCGAATCGTGAACATTATATCGTGATACACATCGTATCGTGAGCTGAGTGTATCGTTACACCCCTAATATAATTTAATTGAATGAATATGACTCGACTATTTTCGAACTGTGCAGTGCTGTAGCTGCTTAATTCGGCCAACTTCGCTACGTTATTTCAATACTGTTGTTTATGGTGGTACTTGGAGAGACATTTTTTTCTGAGGTGGTACTTAGTGAAAATGGTTTGAGAACCAATGCCTTAACCAAAGATACCTGATTCAGATCATCAGCTCATTTGCAAAGACTGAAAGACCTGAGATCTGTAATGGGTGTGAAAAAGGAGACATCCAAGACATGCAGTGCTGGTGGTCCTCCTGGAACATGGTTAAGAAACACTTATCTAAAGAAAATCCATAAGTATGCATGATTGAATGAATTTTCTTTGGATCAGTGTTTCTCAACCATGTTCCTGGAGAACCACCGGCAATGCAGATTTTCCTTGCTCTTTAACCAAACACGCCTGATTCAGAGTCATCAGCTTATTAGCAGAGTCTGAAAGACCTGTAATGAGTGTGACTTAAAAAAGAGACGTCCAAAACATGTAGTATTGGTGGGTCTTATGGAACGTGGTTAAGAAACACTGATCTAAAGAAATTCATGCAAAACTATGGATGTTTTTTTTCCCTAACACTTTTAAAATTAAAATTAAAACTGCCTAAAAAGATCAAATAGGAAATCAAACTCTCCAAACAACTACCCAAATATGAAGTCAAATGCTCAAATGTATGTGCTGGTTTGGGCATTTGATTCATCATTGAATTATTACAGGTTTATACAGAGTTGATCATAAAATTATTTGGTAGTTTAAGCATTTGATTTATCATGTGGGTAGTTTTGAGAGATTGATTTACTATTTGATCTTTTTAGGCATTTAGATTTTTCATTTTTATTTTGTTTGGGGAAAAAAACTTCCATACAAAATAGTGCTGATTACACAAGTGATTTTGGCATCTAGTATGTATCTTGTCTATTTTTCTGTTTGACTATTTAATACACAATAGGCTGATTGACTTTAGAATATTTGATGTCAAATTTTATTGCAATAGTAATGCATCCTGTTGTCAGAACATAGATCACTGATTTGTATCAAGTGGTTCCATAACGCAACAAAACTCACAAGAGACAAGCTTCACTTCCTTCCAAAATCTACCAGTCATGCAAACGGTAAAGTCTTCGTTTTTCTTTGTAGTTCCTCGTTGCA